GCGGCTTCAACGAGCTTATGGCGTACCTCAGTGAGAGCTTAGTAGTCGACAGTAGTGGATAATTTTTTGATTTAGTTCAATGGTGGAGGGCACGAGCATTAACTTGGCCAGTCCTAACTCGATTGGCAATGGATATTTTTTCGATCCCAGTCTCCACTGTTTCATCCGAACAAGCTTTCAGTACAACCGGACGAATACTTGAGGAATGCCAAAATGCATTGCAAAGGGACATTGTTGAAGCTTTGGTGTGCATTAAGATTGGGATCGTGCCGATCAACGTTTACAAGACACAATTTCACCGGCAAGTCAGGAATGGATAGATGAATTTAATAGATTAACATTTCACTTTCAAGACGTTCCTCCAGCTTCAAATTAAGTTGTAACGTCTAAATATTTATTTGCTTTAGACATTATAATTGTAATATTTAGACTTTGTAAGTTTGTCAAATTTATAATTCGTCACAAAATGATTGCACTCTTTTTTTCTTATCAAGTTTTTATCACAATTGGGTTTTTCTTAATAAGCTTTTAACGAGGTAATCATGAATTACAAATTTAAAAATTAATATACAAAATTAATTTTTTAAATTGTGTTAATAGTGTGTGTTGATTTTAGTTTTTATATAATTTTAATAAAAAATAACTTAATAATTATTTATATACAATACAATTAATAAATAATATTATATTATATATAATATATATATATATATACAATATTATAAAAATTAAAAAATATAATAAAAAAATATTTTTTTTCGGGCACATTCAGGCGAGCTCAAGCTGCCCGACCGGGTTCGGGCAACCAAGACCAGGCCCGCGGCCTGTCCAAGGGTCTTCTCGGGCTCGGGCATGCGGGTTCTAGTGTGAGGCACAAATTCAGTTTTTTCGGGCAGTCGTGGGCGGCCCGTTCAAAATTCCAACACTAGGTTGGACTGAGAATTAAGTGATAGACTTTAAAGGGGAATGAATGCCAGAAGTTTAGGAGTAAAATTATGGGCGGTCAATCGGTCATAAAGTGCTGTGATATTAGCTAAAGGATAGGATTAGTCGTTCAGAGTCTTTTGATCATTTGGCAAACTGTTTAAGGAATGGGGCGATGGAAGCGCTGGGGGAGGTCAAAGTATTGAGAATTGTGTTCTAAAAGCAGGAGATGTAATATGATATTTATTATTTATTTAATAAAATAGTTTATTCATTATTTTATGTGCATATATTATTGAATATTTTATGAATATCACTAAAAATTTAATGATTATTGATATGACCTTAAATATTGTATATAAGTGTTATATGCGAGAGGATAATATTTAAGGATCAAAACGATGTTCGTAATGAATTTAATTAAAGTTTAGAATATTTAATTAAAACATTACTAATACATGTCATTTTCATTCAGAATGGAACAATGTTATCCGCATTGTTAATAGGGAGAGATATTGAATTAGTGTATTACGCATAACGAGATTATGTGGAACAGGGACAAAGACACAACATGAATTTCTGATATTTTTCATTAAGTATAGACATTCTAATTGAGTCTACCGATGATCATATATAGAATGATCTTAATCCCAAGTTATTAGCAGACTCCTATTTATAGATTTATGTCTTTTGATTTACTCGGTACGGATTCTGAGATTTTAAATCATATTCCTTGTATTTTGGACACATGATGAAGTGAGTAGCCGGGAATGTTATTATACGAGATGAAATCCATTCATTCTTGAGAAATAAGTGGATAAATAATTCGCTTAAGGGTTGATTCGGTACTTGAACCAGTAGGAGCTCCGATTCATGAATTTGTTTTATGAATCACTATCCATTAGAGAATTAATGGTACTTAAGGATAAAGATGAATTAGAGAGGTTAACGGATGTCACGTAGCTCTAATTATGAATTATTTATGAAGGATTGATCTATATGTAATGACGATATTAAATGAACACTTCAAATTTAGAAGTAATTTATGTTTATAATTATGAGAGTACAATTCCAAGTTTATAGTGGAGTAACTTTTATAATTAATAGAATTAATTAGTTAATTAAAGAGTTTAATTAATTATTAATTTTATTACAGCTCAAAATTACAAGTCCATGAGCTCCCACGTCGTCCTTGTAATTCTACAAGACACTAAGAGCAAAATAAGAATTTTAGAATTATGGAATTCTAAAATAAATCGCTCAAGGATAATTAATTGAGAATTAATTATAAATTAAATAATGTGATTATTTAAATTTAAATTTAAATTTTGAAACACACATGTGAAGGTGTTCACATGGTATGAACGCACAACATAGTGTGAATTCTTTTGGGATTCAAATTGCTTGCTCTCCATAGTTATCCAATTAACTTATTTGATACGTTATCCGATTTGAAATTCAAATTGATTTAAGTTTGACTTAAATTAAGTTAAAATTGGATATAATTATCAAGCTTTATCTTAGAGATAAAGATTAGACTCTTTCTAGAAATTTGACCACTACTCTATAAAATAAGAGATTGTTGCTCTCTCCTAGCATTAGTGGCCAGTTTCTATAGAGTGTGAGGAGAAAAAATTTATCCTAAAATTCCACGCCGTGCATGTGTTGGTGTTCGTGGCAACCTTGAGTGTTTATTCACTAATCCCGTTTTATTTCACATGTGCCCACACACACATCTTCATAGATTCAAGAAATTGACGAGGAAGATTCGGGTGTTCTAAACTAGCATTGGAGTGAGGAACGTTCGAGGTCAAAGAACACAAGTTATCATCATAATCGGTTGCTAGGTATAATTCCTAATCCAGTTCTTGGTAAATAAATTAATGTAATTAATTTATTCGTGCATAAATTAATATAATCTATATAGTATCTTAAATGTTTTATGAAAATTTTTGCTATACATAATCCGCTATTTACATGCTTCCGCATCCGAAATTGTTTTGGAAACTAACAAAATGTGCTAAGCTTGAGGATGGACGAGTTCTAATGCAGGAAAAAGCTATTTTAGATCGATGGAGGGATTACTTTTGTAACCTACTCAATGGGACACATGTAGAAGAATTAGATTTTGAGGATTATGATTCGCAAGAAGGGAGACATCATGTGTACCATCGTAGAGTGAGTGCAAAAGAAGTCAAAGAAGCTTTAAAAAGGACAAAGTCAGGGAAGGCAGTTGAACTGGATGATATACTGATTGAGGTGTGGAAATACTTAGGGATAGTTGGGATTCAATGGATAACTAGGCTCTTTAATAGGGTTTTAGACACTAAGAAAATGCCAGATTCTTTTAGGCACAACAGAGATAAAGCTTATGAGCCATATGATGAAACTTTGGGAGAGGGTTATAGAACAGAGGCTTAAGAGTTTAACCACGATATCAGAGAATCAGTTTAGTTTTATGCCAAGTAGGTATACTACGGATGCCGCCGTTTTGCGTAGATCAGTTATAGAAAGATATAGAGAGGAACAAAAGAGTTTGCATATGGTGTTCATTGATTTAGAGAAGCCTTACAATAGGGTCCCTAGATATCTGATTTTGTGTGTGCTTGGGAGGAAGAAAGTACCAAAATGTTGTGTCACTATCATTAAGGACATGTATGAAAGGGCAGTTACTAGTGTTCAGTAGGTGGGGTGTCAGGTGAATATCTAGTCGCTATAGAACTACATTAGAGGTGTAAGTTTCGATCGCCTGGCCCTAAAAGAGAAAGGGTCGGTCCAGCCCAACCCTAAGCCCAAAAAATTTAGGACTGGCCTAAAATTTTTCAAGGTATTTTTAAAAAATCTTTAAAAATATGATGTTTGGACCGGATTGGTCCAACCCTGAAAGAGAGAGGGTGTGCCCAGCCCAGCCCTAAGCCCAAAAAATTTAGAGTTCGGGCTGGGCTGGCCTAACTAAACTTACAGCTCTAGACTACATCAAGAGTCGGCTTTAAGTCCATAGCTCTTCACTTTTGTCATGGATGAGTTGACGCGATATCTGCAGGATAAGGTAACTTGGTGTATGTTGTTTGCAGATGAGATCATCTTGATTGATGAAACTAGGGAAGGTTTAGGTCTGAAATTAGATAGGTGGCGAGGCTTTAGAGAGTAAAGGTTTTAAGATTAGCCATTCGAAGACAGAATATCTTGTTTTCAACTTTGGTCCTATATCACAAGGGAGGGGTAATTCAATAGTGAATGAAGGCGTAGAGGGCCCAAAGTGTGAGGCTTTTCGTTACCTAGGATCTATAATTTTTAAAAAAATGAAACAATTGGAAAAGATATAGACCATCAGATTAAATGTAGTTGGCTGAAGTGGAGGATGACATTAGGTGTCTTATGCGATAGAAGGATGCTTGCAAGGTTAAAAGGAAAGTGCTATAGGACAATTGTTCGACCGGCTACACTCTATGGTTCGGAATGTTGAGCTACTACGGGACATCAGATGCATAAGATGGCGGTGGTGGAGATGCATATATTAAGATGGATGTGTGGTAAAACCCAAGAGGATAAAATCAGAAATGAATAGATTAGGGGTTACTTAGGAATAGCGCCAACAGAGGACAAAATTAGAGAGAGCCGTCTACGTTGGTTTGATCATGTGCAGAGGAGACCAAACACGACTCCAATTAGAAAATGTCTAGATTGGCAAGCTCGTGGAGGGCGCAGACGAAGGGGCAGGCCGCTGTTGGACAAAGGCAGAGAGAGAGGACATCTTAGAGTTTGGAGCAAGTGAGGATATGTGGGAAGACCGTATTGCATGGAGAATCTGAATCCATGTAACCGACCCTGATTGTATAAATCTTATTTACTAATTTCCAGTGCTTTTGTCAAAACCGCTTGCATGTATTCATTAGTATTCAATTTGTAAGATAAATTTTTTGAATAATACATTTATAAGATGAAGACAAAATTGAGGATCATCAAAGCAAGTATATCTACGTATCTAAGCTTTACATAGATTTGACATATAAATAGAAATATGAGAAGTAATGAATTAGAAAAAAGAACTACCAAAAAATAAAAACAAAAACAAAACAAAAAGAAAAGAAAATTACAAAACTATCAAGTTCAAGTTGAAAGGAAGTGAGTGAACACGAGGCATTATCGTCCAACACTCCCCCAACAGGTCAAATACAAAATCCAGCGCTATAACAGCTTCAAATAAACTATGAACCTCATTTTACATCGGGTAAATTTTACACTCATATGAAACTTGTAGACTATCTGGCCACCTTCATTTAATAACGTTTTCAGCTATCTAAATGTATATTACCTAGATAAAAAAAAAAATCACTCCAAGTACTTGAGCAGAATCGCTCAAGATGATGAATGCTGAAGCGCTGAGCATGGTTCTTGAAACTCATTCCTTCAGTTTGGCTAGAGGACTCGGCAGTAGGGTTGTATAACAATCACCAGTCAGAAGTCCGTGGAAAACTTTTCATCTGTCTTCTACAGATCTTGTGGAATTTGATGAGTTCAAGGAATCTGGATCACTTGTTGCTTCACTCCCCAACTGGCTGTTAAGAATCTCTAAGACATTATCTGGTGGACATTTATCTGCCGGATTCTTTGGTGACATCTGACAGAAACATTCTGGCCAAGGATTTGTATAGAAAGACTCTGGTGGAATCCGTTCGTGTGGCCCACCAAAGTTTGTTTTGAGCATTACTTGCCTTACAGCTTCTTCGAAACCAGCCATCTTTCTGTTCTCCCGATCGATGAAAACTGGTGCAAGACCTTTCCTATCAGGTCTGATTGTAGTCCGGAAGCCGTAGTACAAGCGGTGTCCAAGGAGATTGTTGGCAAAGTTGCTTGGGCCATCATAGGTAGGCATAAAAATATCGGAGAGGAGACAAACCATGTAATCCACAGCTGACCCTATCAACCCCTGGGAATTTCCTGCTAGCTCTTCCGTGGGTTCTACAGAATTGTGGTTTTCAAGGTGAGGGAATAGCGAGCGAAATGGTTTCATAAACTTCTCCCCGCCAAAGAGTTCACCAGCCGCTAGGTATATCCTGGTAGAGTTGTCAAAGCCCATTGCACCTAATATAAGGCCAACCTGCAGCAAAAAGGGTCAAAAGCTAGTTTTGAATATAGCACGAATGGAATTGTGTCTATTGCCCCAGTTGCATGAAAGCAGAAAACAAAATGCGAACGGATTTGTGCAGAGTAAGCACGTTCACATGTCTAATATAATTATCTTTCAAGATCTTAATGAGCTTATTCGTTGGAAGCCCTATTATACATATATGTCAACTGATCAAAAAAGGATATTGAAAAAGCAAATATTACCTCTTCTGGAGTCAACGGGCATTTTCCGATGGCCCTTCTCTCATTATAAAGTAGCTTTTTGGGGGCAAAATTTTCCTCCCGATACTTCTTTAATATCTTTTGCTGTGCCGGGGTAAAAATATCAAAGCAGCTGCAGCAGATGATTCATAACAGTGTCAGATGTTATAAAGAAGGGAATAACCTTCTTCAGGACTGCAAGATGTGAATTTAACTATAGATTAGATTTCGTTTGATTAAGTTTATTTGTTGTCAACCAAGCTAACGTATGTGGTAACCCCCTATGGTGACAATAATTTTAGTCATATAATCTGATTAAGAAATGCATTTGAAGTGGACAGTTAATGGATTTTATTTTACTCTTTTCTATGCAAACTTCATACAGAGTTTTATAACAAGTAAGAAAATCAACCATAAGAGTCGCTCTCCATAGCTAAATTTGAAATTAATGTCTGTATATGATAATTTGATAAGAGCATCAGCATACCCAGCAAATGCCAGCATATCCATCTCAAAACGAAGATGTATAGACATGAAGTGACCTTGTGTCCGGAGCTTATCAACTATAGATTGACTCAACTTCATAATATGAGGCTTAAATCTCAAAGCATGATAATTAACTCTGCATCTCAATCGTTGGTACTCTGGGTTGTCAATTTCTTCCGCCAAACGATGAGAAAACGGCGTAAGGTAAATAGCACCATGTTCCTTCATTTTCTTTAGTGCTTCTGTAGTGTACCAACTAACAGAAGCATCCCTAGGGGGATTGATCTGAGAAAGGAAGACAAGGGGGAAACGAGAAACCAAGCTCAAGAACCAGATCTACCAAAGAACCTCAATACAAAAAAGAAAAAAAAAATGTTAATGTTATACCTGTAAAGCTTTTCTCTTCTTGGTTTTCCCATTTTTTCGAATTTCTGGTATGCTTTCCACAATATACACATCATACCTCAGGGCATTGATAAAATGATCAACATCATAGATACCACGGAAACCACTGTATATAGTAAAGATATTACAACGGTGTTTTAGTCCATGAGATAACGTAAGATGTCCTATAACATTGGCACCAAATACGAAAAGGAAACATAAAGCAACATGTTCTGGCATTTTGAGTGCCATTTCAAGAAAATAGCAGAGATTTCCTTCAAAGGAACTCTTTTATGTTCGCTTGTTAAGGCGTTGCATCCACCAAAAGAAGTTCTATTACTAATATGTAATTGCATTCAACAATAAAAGTGAAAAGGATGTTAGTCTTCTCTAATACCCTCCTACGTAATTGGAATAAGCTCCTAACAGTGAAGGCAAAAAAAGATATCATATCTTCTAGAGCCAATAAATTCTTCCTACAAATGTCTTTCTAGTTCATGTATTTGCAACACATAGTCATTAATTCATTCATTCTCCTCTAACTATTCTGTCTGGTTCTTTATTCAGAAAATGAAATATATGTTTGACGAAAACAGTCAACTCAGCTAAGACGTTGTCCCATTATACTTGGGGCTGGCTACACCAGACATTTTCTCAAAGTACAAACTCCTCGAAGGAGGAACAAGATTATGTTAAAAAGATAATTTTATTCCATAAAAATTGTGCTTCTTCCACACAGCAAACAAATAGGTATATACATACTTGTCATCGTGCCAAAAGGAGTTCGCGTCCAACTCAGGCAGCACAAGAGTAGCATTCATAATTCGTGCAGCTAGAACTGCATTACAAATCTACAATGTCGACAGAACAGTTAAGAGAATAACATCTGTCTTACTGAAGTGAAAATTATAAAAACTGTAATACCAGTTCAAGGCTACAAAGGAGAAAAGTACCAACCGCAGTCCTTTGCTGATTGAGACCACCATTGCATCGTACTCGTAGATAACCATTTGTTTCACTTGGTGGTGCTGTTACAAGGTAAAGAAACAAGTATACTTTCTCTAAGCAATATTTAACCCAAGATCAAATCAATGAGAAAGTTGAAAATAGTATCATACGGGGCCACTCTGATCGGGGAGCCGATGATGGTCTCCAACCACCAGATTTAGCACTATTCCAAAGTTCTTCTACATGGATCTGCACAGACATAGTAAAAACATAAGAATTAATTTCAAATAAATTGATAAAGGCCACCGAGACAGCTATTGTCATAGTTCTTTAAAAAAAATGCTTATGCACCATCTATGGCAAAATCATTACCTTCATTGATAATGTCCAAGACAAAAAGAAAAGTTCAAGTTTCTCCGAAGTCCACAGTATAATTGCAAGATTTGATGGTTCCAGATATCTTAAAAACATAATTTTGTATAACAACTCAAAAGCTTAAACATTACACAAAATATTTCATCTTTGTCACTCAAATATTAGGGTTCTAAACAGTACAATGCCCAATTAAACATCCAAAATTACTTCCAATTTCTCACGCGTTTCCCGAGAAAATCACAACAGACCAGATTCCACAAATAGTAAGCTTCAAACATACCTCGGAACGGTAAACAGATCGAGAACTGCCATTGCCGGTCATCTTAGCGAGCAACGAAACAGTGCAGATCAAGAGCACCGCAACGGCGATCGATAGCCTCCCAACCATTCCCTTCACAGCTCCTCCTGCCGGCTTCCCGTGCAATCGATGATGTAAACCTGGTCTGCAGAGAATCACAATTAATCAAACCAAAAAAGAACTTAAAAAAATGAAATTTATGTTTGGTTAGAGAGAAAACAGATTCCAGGAAAATAAGAGAAGTAAAAGTCGGGACTCAAAATTGTACTACCTCCGCATTGTTGGAGGAGTTGGCTGTAGATATAGCTTTCGATTCAGCTATGGAGATCTTCAACTCCCTCCCCCCCTCTGTCTCTCTCTCTCTCTCTCTCTCTCTCTCTCCAGTCTTCTGTGTGTTATGCCCCTGTCTCTCTCTCTCTCTTCAGTCTTCTGTGTGTTATGCCCAATCAATTAAACAAAATCAAATGGTGCGTTAAGAATTAATTCCAAATTGTTTTTATTTTTTTGTACGAAAATAAAAATAAAAATATTTTTAATTTTATTTTTAAATTATTTTTTAAAATGTATTTAATAATTTTATTTAAAAATTAATTTTAACTTTAAAAAAAATTAAAATTGTGTTTGTTGGTTTAATTTTTAAAAATATGTAATAATATATTAAATAATAATATATTAAAACGGTTTCAGAAAAGAGGGAAGAAAATGAAAAAAAAAAGAAAGTGAAATCCGTTTTCAGAAAACAGAAAACGAAAACGAGAAAATGAAAACACCTTTTTTTCGTTTTTTGATTTTCACAAAAAGACAAAAACGTTTTTGGTTTTGTTTTTTAAAAAAATTTGCACCAAACACGTTTTTAACATCCGTTTTCATTTTTTTGCTTTGAAAATCGTGAAAAATGAAAATGAAAACACAAACAAACAGGCCCAAAGGTTTCACGGGAAAACATCAGTGTCGGTAGGGTCGGGTTTTCAGTGTTCCTGAAACTCTACCAAATTTGTTATTTATTTATTTATTTATTTTTAATAGAATTTTTCTGCCATTTTCTTTTTTTTTTTGAAATTAGTTGTCAAATTTGTATTATTTTTAATCAGATTTGACTTTTAATTAAATTTAATATAATTTAATGGCTGATAAATAAAGCACACTAATTTTTTAAAAAAAGAAGAAACACTAAAAAAAATTTATTTTTCTAATGCTTTTAACATTTTTTATTTTTAGAGAATTTTTAATACCAACGTATAACTTCTATCGATTTATTATTAAAAAAGAAAAAAAAATCTATCGATTTTTCCTACAACAAAAGTATTTTTGTAATGACTGAGAAAATTTCAGACTTTAAATAATACAATTTATTTATTTAAGCCAAGAATTTTCCTAGAAAATATTATGTGACTGAAGGATTTATGGAATCAATATATGTATTCCTAAATTCTGTAGCAGATTTCATGTTAAGTTCATGTTTTCGATCAAGTAAATTCGATCGATAAATT